AGCAAGCCCAGCACGTAGAAGCACGTCCTGTACGCGCGCCGACAAAGCAGACAAAGGTGGTAAGGGCCGTGTGCCATTGTGGGGGCTACACAGCGCAGGGAGAGTAAGGGAGGAAATGTACCCTCGGAGAGCCAGGTTGTCGACCGTAACGGCCAGGTTGGCAATATAGCCAATGGCGTTCGAGTTCCTCCAGGAAAGCCAGCCCGGTCTCGGACTCGCCCACATGACCCACGGCCCAGAGAGCGGCTCTTCTCTCGAGCGGAGACACGGATTCGTTGGTCAGCGTAGCCCACACTTCGTCGAGGTATCGGCCGTTACGAAGGAACCTGATGGTCAGACGCCGAACCAAATCAAAGTTAGCAACGCGTGAGCACTCGAGCACAAGATGGTGCCAGCAGTGGAGGGGAGTGTACGCGCAGCCCTTTTCGGTCTTGGCCAATGCGCCGTACATGTGCGGCGGAGGGATGACCGATTTCTTCCTGTAATCGCGCATCGTGGGCGAAGGAAGGGGTCAGATCCCGGCTAGTCACACTAGAACGGAAGAAGCAAAGAAGAACTCACCCGCCGTTCGAGTAGACATTCTCCGAGAAGGCTTCGTCGAGGTCGGCCTCAATGTCGATTGCGTATTGAATACTCTAAAGAGTGCGCCCGAGTTGGTGAGCACGTTGAGCCGCACAGATGGAAGTGGGAGAGACGGAGGGGGAGGGAGAGGTCGGACCAGTGAGGCGCGCCACAGCTCCACTTCCGGTCCGATAAAGTTGATCTCCTCCAGGTAGTCGAATCCCGCTTCAATCGACAAAAATCTGCTCAAGCCGAGTGAGGGTCCGCGCAACAGCCTTGGAGAATAGAGATAGCAGCTCTCGGTACCGTATCATCATGTTTTTGCCCTCTTTGCCGAGCTTCTTCAGGGCCTGCGGCTTCTTTTCGATGAACGATTTCTGTACGGCGACACACAGTGAGGCCACAGCAAAATGTCAGAGATTGAGCGCGCGTAGGGCGAAGCGAATAGGATTGAGGAGGAGAGCGACG